GAAAGAGTGAGATCAAGTGTTCAGTTGTGCTCGCGCTCCCATGCTTTCTCTCACTTCCTTACAGAGGTTGACAGCTGCTTACTCTGTTGACCTGGTTGTTAAAGTGTGTGAGCAAGTGGAAGGGGTTTTCCCTTTTATCACCCAGGTCTGCCCCTTCCACTGGCTTTTGTTATTGCTACGTACAAAGATACGTACCAAGTCTTGGTTCTGAGTCCAGTGTCACTGAGATAAACTACTTAAGCCTAAAGAGGTTGGATTTTTGTCCGCTCAAAGCGTTTTATCCTGTTTCCCTGATCACAGAAGGAATCAGGCTAAACTGTTGTCTTTATTATTCTTAGTTCTCTCTTGATTTTGTTTTCAAAGCCCTCCTACAAACAAGTGCAGTGTGTGTTTATATATATAAATATATATATATACACATACACACTATATATACAAATATAGTATGTCTGGAGCACAGGTTATTTTTTCCTCTGTTCTTCCACCTGCGGGCAGCAACATTGGAAGAAACAGATGGGCCCAGTTTATTAATAAGTGGCTGCATGGCTGGTGTCACTGCCACAATTTGGGGTTTTTCGATAGCAGGCTTGCTGGCATCAGATGGGATTCTCCTTTCTCAAGGGGGAAGAGGGTTAGAGCTTTAAACTAGACTTGAAGGGGGAGGGGGATAATAGCAGGCTTGCCTGTGACAAGCTGTGGGATGACATGCCAAGGATTGAGGGAGGGGGTGCTAACGAGGGCCCTCAGCCTCTTGCTCTGAGAAGTGCTGGCTACACTGCAGCACACTTGAAGTCTTATGGAGATGAGCCAGGGTTTCCTGAGGTAATAGGGACCAACGAGGAAACACCAGTGAAATACTTCAAAGGAACTAAGGGGTGTTACTCTAAGAAGGTGACACGGCCGACAGCCCAGCAGGAGTGCCTCTATGCCAATGCACGCAGTGTGGGCAACAAACAGGAGGAGCTGGAAGCCACCGTGCTACTAGAAAAACATGACCTAATTGTCCTTACTGAAACTTGGTGGGACAAATCCCATGGCTGGAGTGTGGCTACCAATGGCTATAGGCTGTTCAGAAGAGACATGCAAGGAAAAAGGGGTGGAGGAGTTGCCCTCTACATCAAGAAATGGATAGAGCATGAAGAGCTGTCCCTGAAGAACAGGCGTGAGCAGGTTGAAAGCTTATGGGTAAAAACTAGAGACTGAGGCAACAAAGGGAACCTTGGGGTTGGTGTCTGCTGGCTGCTGGATCAAGGGCACTGTGGAAATGGAAAATTTTCATCTGGTTTCTGAGAAGCATGCCTGATGATTAAGATAAAAGGTAATTTGTGGAAGAAATTAATGTAGTCTACTCTGGAATGTGAGTAGTATGGGAATTTTATTATATTAAGTAATGACAGATGATTTATGTCCTAATAGGAAAAGCAGGCATAACTGGATTGTCACAATTTACATGTCTGTAGTCAAAATCTGGGAAGGGGAGACAGCTGCTGCACAGCAGAAGTATCTAAAATAGCGATGTACTAAGTAAATTTAACACAGATTTTGAAGTGCTGATGGATACCATTTGGAAACTGACAAAACTTAGTAATGAAATTGTGTGAGAAAGCAATACCTGCAGTGAGTTCCAGGGTCACCAGGACTGGGGAGGAGAAGGAGCAGAGAGCTGGGCAGAAGAGGAGGATATGTGGTAGCTAGGAGCTTGTAGAAGGGGCAGTTAAGCAGGATGTAGAAAAGAACTAGTAACTCATTAATGAGAAGGAAGGGGTGTGGGGGAGCATCACCATCGCTGCGGACAGAGTGGGAGAAAATTTCAGTGAATTTAAGGAAAATGAATTCCAAATGAGCTTGTTGGAAGAAAACAAACCTCACCCTACCTTGAAGAAGGGCAAGAAGAGGATCTGGGGAACTACTGTCTGGTCAGCCTCACCTTGATCCCCTGGAAGATGACGGAGCAAACTGTACTGAGGAGAGGAAGGTGATTAAGGGTAGTCAGTGTGGATTTGTGCTTTACCAGCCTGACAGCCTTCTACAGTGAGATGACTGGCTCAGTGGATGAGAGGAGAGCTGTGGATGTTGTTTGTCTTCAGCGAGGCCCTTGACCCTGCCTCCTGTAGCATCCCCAATGACAGACTGATCAAGTACAGACCAGGCAAGTGGACAGAGAGGTGGACTGAAAGCCAGAACTGATGGGCTCAAAGGCTTGTAGTTGGTGGCATCAAGTCCATCTAGAGGCCAGTTACTAGTGGTGTACCCCAGAGGTCAATACTGGGGTCAATATCATTTAGCGTATTTATTAATGACCTGGATGATGGGACAGAGTGCACCCTCACCAAGTTTGTGAGTTGATACAAAACTGGGAGGAGTGGCTCGTATGCCAGATGGTCCCTGTCCAGAGAGACCTCAATACACTGGAGAAATGGGCAGGCAGGAACCTCATGAAGTTCAACAGGGAAATGTGAAGTCCTGCATCTAGGGAAGAATAACCTTTATATGTGATTTTGGGTTTTTTTGGCAGAATTCCCTCTACAGAAGCAATGATTGAATTCTGCTCCATTGCTTATGTCAACAAATGCAGTGTTTGTCTTCTGCTCAACTGGGACTGGATTCTGAGAGTGAAAGACTAACATTTGGCAGCAGCTTAGTGTTTGTCTCCAGGCAGACAGTGTATAGTTTATTTTATACTGACTTAAATATCTTTAAGAGCACAATGTATGAGATGAGTCAAAAGTAAATGGCATCGCCCTTCACTTCATGGGGATAGGATCTCTGCCTCGGATCTGTTAATGTTGCTTTGGTACAAAGAAATGAACTCCACCACTTTCTGTGCTATGGCATTAACTGCAAGAATCGCAGAGTAAATCACGAATACTTCGTCTTGCAAAGGTCTGGGTTTTGTGTGTCACCAAGAAGCTCACATTTTGTAGGGTCAGGGGACATAGAAATGTAATATTTGAATTCCTGCAACTTCATTGAATTGAATGTGATTTTCCTGACATTCACAGGAGTCCGTGAGCAGGTTATTGCGGTGTTACATTTCCCCGAGACTTTGGGGCTCCGTGGTGGTGCTGGTGGGAGCTGAGAAGCTGCGACTGCGTGGACACTTTTGGAGAGCACTGCATCGGACAGGGCCGACAGGAAAACTTCAGGGGAAGCTATGTTAAGCAAAGGTAGATGGTGGAGAGACTTTATGTTAAAGAGTTACAAAAAGAAGCATGAGCGTGCACAGTGTCATAGGGCTGTTCACTATTTAATGGCCCCAGTATCACTCTTTTAAAAAAATGTGGTGGCTTTCATCTTGTGTAGGCTCATTAAGAACCTCTCCTGTCTTACAATGTCTCTGTGTGTGCTCTCCAACGAATTGTTCAGATTGGAGTCTCCAGAAATGAAATCTTTATTTTTCACCTCTAGAGAGCAATCTAGAGCTACTTTCAAAAAGCTGCCAGGGTAAAACTAAACAACACTTTGCTGAATGGATTGGGTTTGAACTGAAGTGTTGGATCTTTTAACGATTTCATCTTGTGGTCTCATAATACCAAGGAAAACTTTAATACTGTCCATAATTATTACGCTTTGCTTCCCCATACTCCCTAGAGATTCATATGGTGCTGTGCACGTATTCAACCGCTCACTGAAGAGAAGAGATTTAATGTCCTGACAGTGGAACAGAATTTTGATGGACTCGGAATTGCTACTTAAAATTCTGTATGTCTAATTTCAGGTATGTTATGGGATTTCAATATTTTGAAAGTGGATTATTTGACTACACTGTTTACTATTTCTGTTGATTTTACCAAATGTTAAAAAAAGGGATTGTTAAGGATCACGTGCTTTTTCCATCAAAGCAAAAGTCTTCGACTTTCAGCCTCCTGTACCAGCTCCTTTCACAGTATACAACCCTACTTCATACCCACAGCAACACAGGGAAAAGAGAGAGCGACCCTGCAGCTGAAGCCTGTAAAACAGTGTTGCAGGCCTTTTAATCTTTTTCTCTTTTTAAAATACATTTCTGATTTTTTTGATGTGTGAAAATATTCCTGTAGTTCCTGAGCTATGAAGTTTTC